CAAGGGTGATGGTGGTAATCATGGTGATGGTGGTGATGGTGTCAATGGTGATGGTGGTGGTGGTAATAATGGTGATGGTAGTGATGGGAATGGTGACAATGGTGATGGTGATGGTGGTAGTAGCAGTGATGGTGGTGATGGTGATAGTGTAAATGGTGATGGTGGTGGTGGTAATCATGGTGATGGTGGTGACAGTGATAGTGGCAATGGTGATGGTGATGGTGGTAATAATGGTGATGATGGTGATGGTGATAGTGGCAATGGTGATGGTGGTGGTGGTAATAATGGTGATGGTAGTGTTGGGGATGGTGGCAATGGTGATGGTGGTGATGGTAATGGTGGTGGTGATGATGGTGGTAATGATGGTGGTAATGATGGTGGTGATGGTAATGGTGGTGGTGATGATGGTGGTATTCATTACCACCATCATCACCATCACCACACCGCCATTACCATCACCACATATTTACCACCATCATCATCCACCCCATTACCATCACCACCATCATTACACCACATCACACCACCATTACCACACCACATCATTACCCCATCATTACCCACCATCATCACCACCACCATGTACCCATCACCACCCATCACCATGCCACATCCCCAACACTACATCACCCATATTACCACCACCCATCACCATTGGCCACTATCACCATCACCCTACATCACCGATTATTACCACCATCACCTCACCATTGCCACTATCACTGTCACCACCATCAGCCATGATTACCACCACACCATCACCATTTAACTTCACCATCACCACATCACTGCTACTACACCATCACCATCACCATTGTCACCATTCCCATCACTACCATACCATTATTACCACACCACCATCACCATTGACATACTCTATCACACACCATTCACCATGTTACCACCATCACCCTTTGCCACCATCCACTATCCTACCATCACCATCATCAGCTTTGCCACCAGTTGCTATCACCATTACTATTCATGTCCACCATGAATAACGCAGCCGTCAGGACCATCACACCACTGCCACCTTCAATCACTACCTCCACCATATTATGATCCTCACTGCATCACCACCATTACCACATGAGCCACTACATGCACATCCACTACGACCACCACCACCGCACTATCTCACCATTGTCATCCTTCCCTCTTTCCTTCACAGGTAGCTTTATTCAGGACGTAACCACATGCCGCGCAGTGTGAAGGGTCGTTCACTGAATCAGCATGAAACTGTAAAATAGTGTTGCTCTTTCTTAGCTTATGTTTTCAGATGAGAGGCTTGGAGGTAGAAGTCACAACCTCAGAGCGCACTCAACTAGTAGTTGTAGATTTTGGGATTCAAACCCAGGTTTTGACCTGTGCACCAAATTCTAAGGCATTCTAACGTGTGTAGGGCCAGTTATGTAACTGCTGTGTGGAAGCTAGGAGGGAACTTGCCAATAAACCACAGGCAGCCCCAACAGATTCCAGACTTCAGAGATCAAAGCCAGCATGAATATATCAAAGCAGGAGTATCAAAGCAGACCTCTCAAGAACAATTTTTAAAGTCATTTTTGTGGTCTGGGCGTGGTGACTCATGTTTGTAATCTCAACACTTTGGGAGAATGAGGTGGTGGATCACTTGATGGTCAGGAATCAAGACTAGCACTGGCCAACATGGTGAAAGGTCTCTACTAAAAAATACAAAAATTAGCTGCGCGTGTGGTGGGGCAGGTGCCTGTAATCCCAGTTGCTTGGGAGGCGAGGCAGGGATTTCGCTTGAACCTTGGGAGGGCGGAGGTTGCGGTGAGCCAAGATCTACATCACTGCACTCCAGTCTGGTGACAAGAGTGAGACCGCTGTCTCAAAAAAAAAAAAAAAGTAATTTTGGTTTCCTCTTATTACAGAACAGTCCTCATTATTTATTATGTTTTATTGCTAAGGCAATGTACATAATTTAGAATTAGCTGGAATAAGGAGAAATTTAAAATCCACTTCGATACTGACAGTTCTTCTATCTGTAAACATTTAAATTCTCTTACATGTGATATTATACTACTTTCTTTATAACCTACATGTTTGTAGTTGATACGTAATAGTGGTACACATGTGGTTGAGTTAATATATATTTTGATACGTGCATACAATTGTGTAATGATAGTAATCATGGTACTCCTTTTGATCCTAATGCTACGTTCATAATCCACTTTCTATGGATTTGTGTTTGTGGGGTTTTGAGACGTAGTCTCGTCTTGTCACCCAGGGCTGGAGTGGCATAGTTTGAGCTCAGGTCACTGCAGCCTCCACCTCTGTTTGCGTGATTCTCATCTCAGCGTCCCAAAGTAGCTGGGATTACAGGCACTCGACCACCATGCCCGGGATAATTTTGTGTTTTTAGCAGAGATGGGGTTTCACCATGTTTGGTCAGGCTTGGCTCAACTCCTGATCTCAAGCGAGTGGCACCCGCCTCTGCCCGTCAAAGACTGGATTGTTGGTGTGACCCACTCGCCCTATGTTGTTCTAATAGCCTCTACAACATGGTATTTTTTGCAGTGTGATATTGGATTGTTTGCATTTGCCCATAATTTGTTTTCCTTCCTTGCTTACATTTTGTGGAAAATTTTCTGAAAAACTACGTTAAAGCATCTTCTCCAATCAGTGCTCCATCATCACGGGCAAGCACCTTTGAGGAGGCTTCACCGATCTGCAGAGTACATCATCTTTGCTAATGTGCACTGGCAGGTTTTATCTTAAAAAACCCCAGTTGGCCAGAATTACCTTTAGGAGAGTGCTTTTCTGCATTTTAAATTGATATCGCGTAGGCAAACGCTTACTACAAATGCTTTCTTAAAGTCTTCTTTGAACAGACTCATTTAGGCCTGCGGTGGGGGCTCGCACCTATAATCCCAGCACTTTGGGTTGTAGGCCAGCGGCGGGTGGGATCACGGAGGGTCAGGAGTTGAGACCAGCGCTGGACCAACGTGGTGAACTCTGTGCTGCTACTTAGAAAATTACACGAAGAAATTACCGTGTAGTGGCGGGGAGCCATGTCATCCCAGCTACTTAGGGAGGGGCTGAGACAGGGAGGAATTGGGCTTGAACCCGGAGGCGGGATTACAGCTGAGGACGAGATCACACACTGCACTCCAGCCTGGGCGCCACGGCCAGAAGCCTCATTTATTAGTGATTGTCTAGTACCTGCCACTATTTTTCTCTGTTAGAATGATTTTTGTTTGAATCGACAAGACATTCACTTGGCTCAAAATTCAAAAGGATAGAAGAGACAAACTGAAAAAGTCCTCCTTGCCTCGACCCACCATTACACCTAGTCATGTCTCTTCTTATATACCTCTTTAAAATATTTTATTTTATTTTAGGCTGGGTGTCAGTGGCTACAGACCTGATACACCCCATTTGTGGCCGAACAGTACTACCAGAAAAATGCCGGGAATGCATAGCGCCAGCAGCCAAAGAAACTAACATACGACGTCTACTGTACAAAAAATATAAAAAAATTAGACCAGTCGTCAACAATATCACGTACCCACAAACACACCAAGGTGCGGACCACCCCTGAACCTATAGTCTTCCCAATGACTACACTTGGAGTAGGATAGATACGGTAGCGGATCATTCAACCTCGTCGAGGACGAGGTTTGCAAGATAGAGT